AGGAGATTGTGCGGATGATAATTTCAGTGTTGATCTGCGTATATAAATGCTTGCACTCGATATATATATATTTTTTTAATCTACGGGAAAAGAAGAAAAAAAGACCAGGCCACGCAGAGTGGAAACGAAATCCTGGGCATACTGTGTAACATGAACCGTGATATACACTTGGGGTCATGGACTTCTTCTGCCTTTTTTTTTCTCTCTCTCCCAGAACTATATATGTAGATGCATAATCTTGGGTATGTTGAGCCTGAGAACCACACCGTACACTTGATTTATCACGGATTTCGGGTACAAACTATATACTGTACGCATACTTCCATCTCAACAATAACAGCAACGACAAAAAAACAAACTAAGCCCTCACCCCCATACACATCGCCCTCCTCCTCGTGCATGCCGCCGAGCAACAAGGATTTCGGCGCCGCCTTCTGGTCCGCGGGGCCCGCCAAAAACGCCATAAACTTCTCATCATGCCACTGTCTCGACGTAACATATCTGCCCTCACTATCCCTCAGCATGGTCTCATCCTCGGCCCTTAGAAAGTACGCAACCGAGTACCTATGCTCGCTGTATTCATACGGCACCACGCGGTGCACACACGACTGAAACACATGGCCGCTTGCGAAGCGCAGCGAATCCCCCACATTGATAATCGCGTGTCGCGGCTGAGGCGCTACAAACCCGAATTCTCGGGTCCCTGGAGGCCGGATCTGGAGACCCCATTGCTCGGTGAAGAGCACGGTTAGAGAACTAATGTCCGTGTGTTTCTGGTGCCCTACGTGCTGGTCTTGCGCCGGGTCGCTGGGGATGTAGTGCATGAGTGCGAGGGTGCTGGTTGAGGGTCTGTGATTGCGATGTAGTGTTTCGAAGCGCGAGGGACCCGTGAGTCCGAAGGCTGTAGATAGAGCGCAGAGAATGGTTTTGCCGATGATGTTGCTTCCTGAGATGGAGGCTTCGAGTGTTTTGAGATCACTGGCGCTGGTCAGGTTGCGTGGGATGTGTGGCGCGGAGCGCTGGATCTCGTCGCGCGAAATCTTGACCATTTCGTAGCCGTCGCGTGTGTTTTCTAGGACCCCGTTGCGGGAGCCGACGGGTTCGTAGCTAGCTGGTTTGAGCATTCATGTCGCTGTTCGTGTGTGTGTGGTGATATGTGTGTAACTTACCCCAAATGCGGCGAAACAAGCCCATACTCATTCTTGACTTGCAGCGGGGCATCGAAGAAGCGATGCATGAGTCCCAGCAACTGCTGGTGGTCATCCAGAAAGCGGCGGCCATCTACATTATCGAGGTTGAGATAGAAAAAGCCCTCGTCCTTGCAGCACTGGAGGAGCTTGTCCAGCTCATCTGGCTCTTGGGACAGGAGAGCCGAAAAGTCAATCGTCTCCATCGGGTACACGGGCACCTGTGTGCCGTTCCACTCGACTCGGCGGACGCCTTCGTATTTGCGAGCCATGGTTTGTGTTTGTGTGTTGGTTTGGTATGAAGTTTTGGTTTAGTTGCGGAGTCGTGAGATGTGAAAGTGGTCGAGAAAATGAGAGTCTGCTTCGTATGTGTTTTGTGAAGGCATTTATAGTAAATTCAGCATTGTGTATATCCAATGTCCGAAGCTCTCCTTCAGGTACTTGCTTTTGCCCCTCATTTCCATGGTACGTGCTATATCTCTCTTCCCAACAGAAAGGTTGGGCATAGATTGATTCCACTCTTTGATTGCTCGATTTCCACGGTGAACTGTATGCCGTCTAGATATCAATGTGCGTTGAGATCGGCATATGGTGTCGACGTATTGGATTGGTACGGAACTATTCATTTTTCTGCCAACGACGTGGAATCTCCTCTGCTTAATGAGCAGGCTCTCATTCCCCGCTGTGATGTACCGCCGGTGCGCTAAGCGAATGCGTATCGTCGAAGATGAATGGATGTGAGAATATCTGTCATTTAGGTGCTGTATGGATAAAGTGATTGCCAGGCATATGAAGATCAGTTATGATAACGGTTCGAAATTCCTCAACCCTAGTGGCTGCTATTGGACTGGAACCTTGATCTGAGGTGACCATATATAATCGGGGCTGGGCACGAACTGCCGTTGATGGGGTAAATTGGTGGGGCCTCCGCAGCGGGGATACCTCGAGCACGTTACTCATGACAATGGACTTATGCATGTTTGCATATCAACTGTCAATCATAGTATACATATTGGCAATCATCAGAATCTCGTGGTCAATTGATAATATGCCGACTGAGCACAGCGGCGGTTGAATGCAGATTTATTGTTACAGTTGCATCATACAAGCTTCTATAGCTTCATACCCAAGACTTTGTGTACCCTCAGAGCTTGCCTGATACTCAGGTCGAGCATAATCTCTTCGCTACCACCCGGGATAGCATAGGCCCTGACGTCTCTGTATAGCCGTTCGACCTTGGCACCCTGTCCGCCTCGGCTATAACTCAAACCACCAAAGATTTGACTGGCTTCCCTGGCACAAAATTCAAAGGTTGTTGTGCTCTGGGCCTTGAGACTGGCAATGGCACCTCCAAGCTTGAGCATGGCCTCCATGTCGTTCATCTTCTGGCACTGGTAGATGAGATTCTCCATCCAGTTGTAACTGGCCTCAATCTGACGAACCATGTGTGCGAGCTTGAGGCGAATGACGGGGTGGTCGATGAGACGCTTTCCAAATGTCTTGCGCTTGTGTGCGTACTTGACGCTCTCTTCGTAGCACACACGGGCAAAACGCAGACATTGGATGATGATACCAATACGCTCGTGGTTGAAGTTCTGACAAGTCAGTCTGGGTCTGTGAATAAGATAGTAATCGACTTACCGTCATGACGACCTTGAAACCCTGGTTTTCCTTGCCAATGAGGTTCTCAACGGGAACCTTGACATCCTCAAAGGTGACGTAGGTAGTGCCACTGCTCCACACACCCTGGCAGTCCATCTTTCGGGTCGAGACGCCGCCTGCGCTGCGCTCGATCAAAAGGACCGAAACACCGTTCATGCCCTCGCCGCCAGTGCGGACAGCAGTTGTGAAGTAGTCGGACCAGATACCGTTGGTGATCCATTTCTTCTCGCCATTGACAATGTAGTGCTTGCCATCTTCGGAGAGTTTGGCTTCGCAGGTCAGGTTTGCAACGTCGCTTCCGGCATCTAGGAATATTAGCGATGACTCTCTGCATAAGAGACATACATACCTGGCTCGGTAATGGCCAAACAGATCCTCTTCTTTCCGCTGAGTAGATCTGGGCCAATACGCTTGATGAGTTCCTTCTTGCCAAACTTGAACAGAGGCGGTGCGCCGATGCCGTAGCCACCGATCAGACCCCAGACGAGACCACCGCTACCTGTCCTCGACAGCTCATCGGTGATGATCATCTCGTGGAAGTGATCCCACTTCTCTGGCGGCACGCTCTTGACTCTGCGGTCGGTGTATTGGGTAGGGAACTGGACCCCAAGCGTTCCAGCAAGGTATCCTCGTTCGCCCATTTGCTGGAAGATCTCGTCGGGGATTTTCTTGGCCTCATCCCATTCGGTGACGTATGGCATGATTTTCTCCTCGACCCATTCGCGGACTTCTTCGCGCAGAGCGGCGTGGGTCTCGTTGAAGTAGGGAGAGTGGTACTACGCTTGTTAGCACAGCAAAGCAATCACGGCAAGTTTCATGGACATACTGTCTGGTACCACGAAGGGTCGGCATATGGGATGAGGTCGCCGTAAGCATCAAACGGCTCCGACTCCTCGGCCTCCTTGGTGGGCTGGGGCGCCACGACGCCAGGGTTGGCCTCTGGCTTGACGACTTCCCTCTTTGGCGCAGGAGGCGGCGGGGGGGCTGCCTTGGTGTCGAGTGATCCGACCTGCAGCTTGGCCTGGTACTTTTTGAGGATGCCCTCGTTGTGGTACTTCCAGAACTGCTTGGACGCGTCCTTGCCAGCTACGCGCTGGAGAACTTGCAGGCGTTAGCTTGGGGCGCACAAGGCATAACATGGGCCAGCCTACTCTTCTTGCCGCCAGGGTGCTCATCCTGGAAGGTGGTGAGGTCGTAGACGTCCTCGTCGACGATGATCCACAGGTCGCTCGCAGTCTTGTGCGACGCGACGTCGGCGGCGGAGAAGCGCTTTGCCATGTTGGAGTATGGGAAGAGGGTGGGAGGAGAGGGTGTGGAGTGAAAGGGCGGGAATGCTTCTGGGGAGATTATAAGAGGGCTAGCATTGTTTCGGGTTGCTTTCACATGCAAGCCACGACTCCACGCCACGGGGAATCCGGGGAAGCTTTCAGGCGCTGAGGCCGGCCGGCAGGTCAGCGCGTTTGCGGCATAGCCGGCGGCATCGTGTGACGTCTGATCTCGTGAGCGAAAATACGAGAGCTGCAATTGGCCGTCGAGGCCGGCTGACTTGCTGGTTTGGCGGTAGACGTCATTCACCCACAAGCCGAGGCTCGCCGCTTTGGGACGGCGCACGTGGCCCGTCTGTCACATGTCAGCATGGCGGCGACGTGGAGCTGCGAATGAATCGGAGGCTCGTATTAGGCGTTGCAAGCATTGAATGATTATCTTTAATGCGTTGCATAGTAATTCGTCCTCAATCCCATACTGTCGGTCTATTCAGAAATAGCTGACGCGGAAGAAAGCATGCGAATACGTCGCTTTATCCTGCATCTCCTAGTCGCTTTCCTTCAGGCCAAGTAATCCTACTTTGTTCAACGCATACTAACAAATAAGTGGCCCGGATCTCTCCATCTCAACCAGCCCCCCGAGATGCGTCCTTGGGCGGAGGCGGAGGCGGAGGCGCGGGGAACGGAGAACGGGGAAACACAAAGTCCGCGGTCTTGGCAAAGTGCTACAACGGGCGCATGCTGCAGCCAACACGCTCCAGCCTGGCCTCCTACACCCTTCACCGCGCTTTCTTCCAAGTCCCTCTGGCGATCCCCATCTCCACCCGAAACAAGCGATTCCTTGCCGCGGGGAAATCAGGCGTCGTTGAAGAACTCTATGCAGCTGAGAAATCCCCTAATGCTACAAATCTCTGCCTTGGCTCGCTGATACGCAAATGGCGGCATGCTATGAATATTGACCCATCTACAATTAGTGGGCTGTTTTTCGAGTATGCCCGCTGAGTCGCTATGCCAGTATCAGACATGGGAACAGGTTTAGAGCACCATTCGGGACATCGAGATGCCGCTTCAGACGTTTGCCATGACAGTTGGACTCGGGGCATCCATCTTCTAAATGCATGACGATGTCATCTGCTCTACTTCGTTCCAGCTAAAAATTTCGACTATCCAATAGAACCTTCCATGTGGCGAGAATACTGAGTATTCTATAAATGCTTCATTTCACTGTCAAGGACTGTAGTCCTTGAAGACGCCTAACCAGCCTACCTAATCGTGCGCTAATGAAGATTTTGTTTTCGTCTCTCTTTTCTTCATGAAAATAACTATTGCAGTGCTACTAGATAGAAAAGACTAGCACAGGACTTGCATCATGGGCTATTTGACGAAGTCGAGCAATCTGAACAGGGTTGGTCAGAAAGGTTGGACGAAAATGCGTCATTTTCAAGGATGGTGGAATTTGAGCAAACAACCTGCCCACGTGACATGGACCGAACAGCAGACACCGCAATCGGGAGACGCTTCCTAAAGGTGGCGACATGATATTACACGTTGGAATCAAAACACGTCGTGCCCACGTCGGCCCAAGGAGAGCCCGGCGGAACAGTTCCCGTGCCCTGTGGGGTCTCCGCGTCAGCTCCCGTACAGCAGCCTGTCATATTTGGACGACCGCCATGGCTGCATCTGCTCTGCTCTTTGATCTTCCTACAACCGTCATTGTATATTCGACATGTCGAGAGCACGTTGGATGCGATACCGCCAACGTGTTGAGAGAGGCCGGCGCAGGCTGCCTGCAGACATGACAAGCACAGTACAGGACCCAGCCCACAGCTAACAACAACAGTATTACTTGCGAGACTGCTCTCCATCAGCATCTTACGCCTTTCCATGGCTGGACACGCTCAGTAGGCTGTGCAAAACACAGCGCTCTCGTCAGCGGATCAAACGGCACACACAAGCAAGAGTTGGACCTTTGTTGTTTCGCGCCCAGACCCACATACATATGCACCCCATTTCGAGGCCACCAGAGGCCACCAGGTGCCACCAGAGGCGACAACATGTCTGGATGGATCGGGAGCGGTGCTGTGGCACTTCCTTGGGCTGGTTATATCCGTGGGCCAAGCACGCATGAAGCTTGCTTCTGCCAGACCGCCAACATTTATCCACATCCGCGGCACTGTCGACATCAGGGGCATCACACAACCTGCCCACGTGCATGCTTTATATGTCAACCGCACGCCCCGTCTGCCTTGGCACATCATTCAGGATTCCCGCTTTCCTACTGCAGTTACCCAGGGTTTGCCCATCTACGTCAAGCATTTCGTCCTCGCTACCGTCCTGCATGTCTTGGGCCCTGATCGCAACATGTGCGAGTTGCACGCGCTGCCATTGGTCACCATGCTTCTCCAAAGGCACAACACATCTCCTTGCCACAATACCATACAAAAAGGCAATCGGTGGGCACGGTTCCAAGCCCTGAATTCTTCTTTCCTTGGCTCCATGTTTTATCATTGTCTATGCTCCAACCCCTCTCCTCTTAGTCACGCCGGTCCGGTCGGCAGACACGGCACACTTAGCCACACCTTAGCCACGCGATACACTATATGCGAATAACTGCGGACCTCGCTCGACTGTTACTGGGCTGTGTTTGAGCTGGCTCCGTATATACCTGACAAATTCTATTCCTCTCGGCAGTGACGCTGATTCCATCCACTACATGCCGATTTAGCATCTCATAAGCGCCGCCTTCTTGGCTTCTCTGACCCTAAAAGGGCACACATCTGCCCATTGACAAGTCAGTACTCACTTCTTCGACGTCGAAATGGTATTTTCTGCGAGGCCATGTCCATTTCCAAGCCTTTATGCCTGGCTATTCTTCTTTACTCTTAGACATGTTCATGCCCAGACCGACTACAGTCAATATGTGAACGTCTTGTAGGTTGGACTGTAGACCCGACATCGCTAGTGCTTATAATCTGCAGTCAAGGGACAAAAGCCGGAGGAAACAGATTTCCCGGGGTCGTCGCCGCACCGTTTGCCATGGTGAAGCTTGGGCCGGACGTCCAGCATGACCGGACCGACGCATACTCTGGCTACCTTCCTGAAGGCAACGTCTTTGGCTTCAGCATGATGCACGAATCTGGAACCGGTGGTGCCCCGAAATATGGAGTTGTTTCGCAAATGCCGGTTATTGGCGATGTTCCCGATCCCCTAGCAGACCTTTCTCAACAGAGGGCAGCCCCTGACAAGGGAAGCGTTGGCTACTACCAGTCAACTCTAGCAAACGGCATCACTGTCGAGCTCAGTGCTACAGAGCATGCTGGTCTGTATTCTTATACTTTTCCAAACGCCTCGGCGTCCTCCATCGTCGTGGATGTGTCCCACGTACTCACCAGCTTCAGAGGCTTTGGCTGGGAGCAGCACTACTCAGGAGGCTACTTTAGGATTGCAGACGACGGTCATTACGAGGGATCCGGCGTCTACAACAATGGCTGGAACCTTGCACCGGACTGGACAATCTACTTTTGCGGAGTCTTCGACAAGCAGGCATCTCGCTCGTGGATCTTTGACGGCGAGACCTACCCGTTGAGTGACCCCGTGTCTGGCAGCGCACGCATCGGCGGTGTTTTTACGTTTGAAGAGGATTCCGTCAAGTCTCGTGTGGGCATCTCCTTTATTTCGACTGAAAAGGCGTGTGCCAATCTCGAAGAAATTGCTCCAGACACCGAAATCGAGGCACTGGCCGATGCTGCAAAGAGCAAATGGAACAATAAGATTTTCAACAAGCTCCAAATCTCGTCCTCGAATACGGATGACCTGGCACTAGTCTACAGCTCGCTGTACGGCATGTTTCTGATCCCGTCGAACCGCACTGGCGAGAACCCCGCGTGGAACGATGGCGAGCCGTACTACGACGACGTCTTTACTCTCTGGGATACACACCGATGCCACACAGCCATGTTCCACATCCTCTACCCGGAAGCACATGAGGAGTTCATCCGCTCGCTCATCGACATCTGGCGCCACGACGGCTTCATGCCGGACGCGCGCTCATCCAACTTCAACGGGCGGGTCCAAGGCGGCTCAAACGCAGACAACGTCCTCGCCGACGCCTATATCAAAGGCGTCCGCGGCGCCATCAACTGGGCCGACGGCTTCTCCGCCATGCAAACCGACGCCGAAGTCGTGCCCCCGAATAACCACGACCCACAGGCCCCCGACTCGTCGACAAAAGAAGGCCGAGGCGCTCTCCCCGACTGGCTGGAATACGGATACATCACGCCCAACTTTACCCGTGCCGTCACGCGCGCAGTCGAATACTCAACCAACGACTTTGCCCTCTACCAAGTGGCACGGGGGCTAGGCAAAACTTCATCCGCATCCACGTATCTGTCCCGCTCACGCAACTGGCGCAACCACTGGAACCCAAACGCAAACTCGCACTCGCACGCCGGGTTCGTCGTCCCACGCCTGGCAAACGGGTCTTTTGCACCTCAAGACCCCACCAACTGCGGCGGGTGCTACTGGGGCGACGCCTACTACGAAGACAACAGCTGGATCTACAGCATGAACGCCATCCACGACATTGCAGAGCTCAAACGCCGGATTGGCGGCGACGCTCGCTTTATCGATCGCCTTGACAAGATCTTCGAGCTGGGCTTCTTCGACGCAGGAAATGAACCCGCGTTTCATACCCCGTATCTGTATAACTTTGTGCCGGGCTACCAGGCGCGGAGTGTAGACCGCAGCCGCGAAATCAGCGCGCTGTATAGTGCGGGTGAGAGCGGACTACCTGGGAATTCTGATGCGGGGGCCATGGGAGTCGAATTTGCTTGTGAGTCTCCGCTTTCTCCTCGTGCATGATTTCCCCATCCTTGGATATACCCAGCTGCATGGAACTCCGGGGGAGAGTTTGTGGGAACCAAGGCAAAATATACTAATATTGATACCTGCAAAAAGTGGCAAATCATAGGTCTCTACCCGCTAACGGGGCAAACCACATTTCTCATTTTATCCCCGTGGTTTGAGTCTTTGGAACTTCAGCTGCAGAATGGGAATACGCTTACCATTACTACGACCACTGTCTCGAATACTTCTAGCGGCGTTAGCAATGGTGGCAGTAGCAATAGTAGTCATGGTAGCAGTGAACGTGGTAGTAGTGATGGTAATAGTAGAGACAGCACTACAAACCGCTACATCCAGCACCTCACCATCAACAACCAGCCCTGGGACAAAGCATGGGTGACATGGGCCGATGTATTTGAAAAGGGGGGTACAATGGATTTTGAGCTAGGCCCGGAACCCGTGCATTGGGCCACGGGCGAGGTGCCGCCTAGTCCTGCGAGTGGGGGGTGATTAGAAACACATTTTTTTTATATTCTTGTTGAGCGGGGGGGGGGGGATTTTTTTTTCTTCCAATTTTCTGTCTAATGTCTCTTTGATCTTTCTTGGCTATTGTTGTGCACATGGATGGTGGAGGGGAGGGGGGAAAGGGAAAAGGAAACGGAGATATAACGAGATATAGACGTACATACACATACACGCATATAGATAGGTCGGGCTAAGTAATACAAGAGTCACTAATATATAGTACTTGACTGTGCGAGCACACGCATACACACGTGTATGAACACTACATCTACTTCACACCATCACCTACACCTACACATCTTCACTATTTCTCCTTGATTTCTACTTGGAATCTTTTTGCCTATTCTCGCACTCTCTCTCTCTCTCTCACACACACACACACACACACACTTGGAACGGTTCGGCAACTAGACACAACCACACACAACAAGAACCAAGAATCAGAACAAGAACAAGAACAATAACAAGTGTACCAAGGAAACAAGAACAAGTAACCTCAAAGCCAACACACTGAAGTTTCTACTTACTTCCAGCGTACCTACTTACTGCCTACCTAGTATGTATATTCCAAAAAAGAAAAAAAAAAGAAAAAAAGAAGAAAAAAAGAAAAAAAAGAAGAAAAGCGTGGGTTTAAATTCTCTCAAAACATTCTCATTCTCGTTCTCTTCT